TACATGCGTTAGCGGTTAGACCATTGACCACGCGTCCTCGAGAGGACGGAGCATTGTTCCCAAAGGACCGATCACCGATGGCCAATCGTTCTTTCCTACTTTGCCAAAGGTGGCTAAAAAAGGTCTTCCCTATTCTATCCATCCTATCGGACCGGGGGGCGCACAATAATGGGCGGCTACGTTAGTCCTGTCTGAAGGAAGAAGGTTTTGCTGCCTACCTCAGCTGTGGAGTTTGGCGTTCGTGATTGTGCACGCCAACAACTTCGAGTCCAAGGGCGGCTTTGTTTCATACTGCCACCGACAAGCGTGGGACAACGCACGTGTGCATCGTACGTTGTATCATCTTACTCTGATCCAGCGTATTACTCGGCGTTTTTTCTTCTCTGTTTTTTGTTGACACACGGCTTGTGTGGGCCTGGGCCCTTTGTGTGTGGCGCTATCTTGGTTCTAGTTTCGCCTTCCCTTGCGCACGACATACCCAGAACTATGCATCCCCTACCCATCCACCACCTGTTCTGGAAGCTGACACAAACAATACTCCCCTCCTTCCCGTGCCACCACTACACCCCCCCACCGCCGCTAGGCGTCTGGAGTCGTCCGCATTGACGGCGAGGAAAAGCCTTTCAGACGCCCGCCGCGACTGGGCCGCGGAGAAGGACACGCTCATCGCCGCCGTGAGGGAGGCCGGCCAGCGGGCCGACCTCGCCCTGGCGGAGGGCTCCGAGGCCAAGTCCCGCGCCGCCCTCCTGGAGGAGAGGCTCCAGCAGACACTGGAGCGCGAGGCCGCCCTCAACGCGGAGGTGGAGAGCCTCGCCGGCTCGGCGAGGGACGGGGAGCGAAGGGTGGCGCGGGCGGTGGCGGACGCCGCGAGGGCCAGGGCGGCGGCCGCGGCGCAGGTGGGGCCCGGGCGGGGGGTATGTACTCATGTCAATGCATGCCGTAGACGTTGGACGATAGACCTCGTATCCTTACAATGCCGGGACGGAGCAGCATACCGGGTTTTTGCCGGCCCAGGCGCAGTTTTTTATATATTTTTCTTCGTGTGCTGGCTGCTGCTTCCATCCGCGTTTTTTTCCATGTCTTCCCTCCTTGCGTGCTCATTCCCTTCCTCCCTTGTCCCCCCCGGGTCACGTAGCAGTAGATTGAATCAGTCGTTCACTCTCCCGATCCTGTACACAATAGCGTTGCTCGCAAGTGCAAGAAGTGTCATCGACGCTGCTGCTGCTGCTGTTTCCTGTGACTGTCTCATTTTAAGATGAATTGCCACGCAGTATTAACACCCTTGTGCTCGGGCTACCTGTTTCCCCCCCCCCCCCCCCCC